CAACGATAAGGGGGGAACTGGCACAGGGGGATGCATCGACCTGGAATCGGCGATACGTCGCCGATGGATCGGCGATGGGCGCCCGGTCGTGAATCCGCACCTTCCTGGGCAGGTTGGGGCTATCGGGCTCCTATCGGCGATCAATGGGCGATTGGGGGTCGATGCATCCCCCCCTCCCTGTGCCTATCCCCCCCTATCGTACAGTGTGAGGGGTGCGCCAAAATGGGGCGGCGCCGCCACGTGGACCCTGCCACTAGGCCCTTCGGTGGAGCTCCGTATGGGGCCACGAACCGCGTGAAGGGTGCGCCAACATGGGGCGGCGCCGCCCTGCGGACCCTGCCAGTGGGGCCTTCGGTGGAGCTCCCTGTGGGGCCACGAACCGTGTGAGGGGTACGCCAAAATAGGGCGGCGCCGCCATGTGGACCCTGCCACTAGGGCCTTCGGTGGAGCTCCGTATGGTGCCACGAACCGTGTGAAGGGTGCGCCAACATGGGGCGGCGCCGCCATGCGGACCCTGCCAGTGGGGCCTTCGGTGGAGCTCCCTGTGGGGCCACGAACCGTGTGAGGGTGCGCCAAAATAGGGCGGCGCCGCCAGCTCAAGTGTGGACATCTGCACTAGGCCTCGGTTGGAGCACCGGGGATGGGCGCCACGAAACTGTGTGAGGGGCGCGGCGCTGACGAGGCGATGGCGAGGCTCATGATGATGTGGTCATGACGATGGCGTGATGAAGTGACGATGATGACGCTTACGATGTGGATGATGACGAGGCGGCTTGGGGAACGAAGAAGGAGACCGAGGAGGAGCGGGGAGGAGGGAGGAGGAGAGAGGAGGAGACAGAAGAGAGAGGAACGGAACGAAAGGAGGGGAGGAGGAGGGGAGAGACGACGGGGCGCTGTTCTCGCTTCAAACCTGAGAACCTCAGCACACAGGATGGCTTTATCTAAGTTTCTAACATGGAAGCGACGATCACTAACAAAAACGCCTATCGCGTTGCTGTTGCCGTCGGCTCGTGGCGCCCGCGGGACTATCACGGCCGCCAGGCGGCTCTTGGACAGCTTCTCCAGGGGCTCGGCCGCCATGGTGGTCAGCAGAAGCTCGCCGCTCGAGCTGGTCCTGGGGGGGTCTTCTCAATCTCATCGTCCTCGTCGTCGTCGTCGTCGTTGTCCTCGTCGTCGTCGTCGTCCTCGTCGTCGTCCTCGTGGTCGTCGTCGTCGTCGTCGTCGTCGTCGTCGTCGTCGTCGTCGTCGTCGTCGTCGTCCTCGTCGTCGTCGTCGTCGTCGTCGTCCTCGTCGTCGTCCTCCTCGTCGTCCTCGTCGTCCTCGTCGTCGTCGTCGTCGTCGTCAGCGTCCTCCTCGTCGTCGTCGTCGTCCGCCTCCTCCTCCTCCTCCTCCTCCTCCTCCTCCTCCTCCTCCTCCTCCTCCGCCTCCGCGGGGGCGCCTGCTCCCTCTCCCACGGGACTCCGAACCTCTGGCGGGGTGATGCGTGCCAGCTCTGGAGGCCTCCCAGACAGGGTCCGCGCAGGTGGGGTCGACAGATCGCTCTGCACCGTCGATGCATCGCCGATGCGTCGGCGATGCGGCGCGATTCTTCGACCCCGTCGACGGTCGACCCTGACCCCAACAGGTCAACCAGATCCCTCCCGCGGGGCTCAGACCTGTGGCGGGAATGATGTGTTCAGCCTCTGCGTATATCTTGAAGTCGTTTTCGGGGCCCCGTGGCCATCAAAACTGGACCCGGGACGAGACGCCAACCCTGGGGAAGGGGTCGAGACTCGAGACCTCTGGGACCCGTGGATTGGAAAATCACGCTGTCGCATGCGTGGTGGGACACCAAGAATCGACGGCGGGCTGCGCACTGTAAGTGCCCAGACACTTTGCCTACGCCACACCCACGCCCAAAATGCCAGCCCAAAAAGGCGACAAAGGATGGCCGTCCTGGGAAGAGGGACAGGCAGCTGGCTGGACCCGAACAGGCTGCACTGGTTGCCCTCGCCTGCTCCGCCGGGCGAGAAGAGGCTGTAAGGGGCCCCCGACGTCGCGCTCATTTCCAGGCGGGGTCCTCCTCCTCCTCCTCCTCCTCCTCCTGATCCCTTCCCCGAGGGCTGCTTGTCTCGTCCCGAAAGATGGCCGACGGACCCCAGATCCCGAGAGTGCCCCTGGGGGCAGCAATAATAGATGCCCATATGTCTATATATATATAGATATATATCCCTCGGCTCCAGCTGTCCCACAGCCTTCGAACACCCCTCCGCCTCCTCAACATCCCACCCCCGGGACCTGTCCTGCGGCGGATCCTGACGAGGACCTCGCCGGTCGTGGCGAGAGCCCGCAGGACCCCACCCCCGAAAACCAACAGCGACACGCCCAGACCCCCGGCGTCGTGGTTTTTGTTCACAGCGTCGACCCTCCGAGGCCCCGACCCCTTGCCAGGGACTGCTTTTGCATCCTGGGTCGTCTTGTTGACGGCCCCGAGGCCCCGGGAGAGGGCCCCCGGAGGTCGACCACAGCGCAGAACCTCCCGCCGTGATTTGTTTCTCCAGCGCGAGGAGGTCTGGGCATGTCTGAGCACATCCGAAGACCTCCCTCCCAAGCCGAGCTCAGAGCCCAGAGGATCGGGCCCGCACGGCACTCGTCACTCGATGTGAGGGGCCCCTCGCGCAGCGGCAGGGCATGCTTGTGAAGGTCGGCGGCGAGCCCGGGGGGTGGGAGACGAGAATGGGGCGGGCCTTCCGAGAGCCCAGACCCCCTTCGAGTGGGTCGTGAAAAAATGATGGCGGGAGGTTTTGTTCGCTACTTTCAGCGTCGGGGAGGCTCTTACCGGGCCTGGGGACTGTGACAAAAACGATTGAGATCGGAAAAACGGTCCCTGGGAATGGGTCGAGACCTTTGGGGGTCGACGTCATGAACGAAAACATGGCGTCGGGGTCTCCCCCGAAGGCACAGAAAACTTCTCAACGTCGCGAAGGCCTCTGAGAAGTCTGGCCGCCTTCTGAGATGGCCCTCTGCTTCGCACTTCCCCCCCTTCGCTCGACGCCGAGAAGGGACCGACGGGGAAGGGACGTGGGACGGGAGGGTGTCTTGCAGCAGACTTCCGGCGTCTCGTGCTGGGGGGAAGCTGGAACGCTCGATCCCTCCCCTGGGCCCAATCCTCCCCGGGGACAGCTCCCTGGCGGCCCAGGTCCCGAGGCGCGCTCCGCAGCACCCAAACCTAGGTGAAGACCAGCCGCCTCGGTTTCCCCGTGATGCTGGAACTCGGGGTCGAGGCCCTTCTCCTCCATGCGTCCTCCTACATCCCTCCTCCTCCTTCTCCTCCTCCTCCTTCTCCTCCTCCTCCCTCTCTTCCTCCCTCTCCTTCTCCTCGTCCTCGTCCTCGTCCTCCTCCTCCTCGTCCTCGTCCTCGTCCTCGTCCTCGTCCTCGTCCTCGTCATCGTCCTCCTCCTCCTCCTCCTCGCCCTCGTTCTCGTCCTCGTCCTTCTCCTCCTCCTCCTCCTCCTTCTCCTCCTCCTCACCCTCTGGGTCGCTCGAGCAGGAAGTCCTCGCAAAGACGGGCCGGTGGTCCAGGGTCGACGAGGACGAGTCGCTCTCCGAGCCCGAGAGGAAGGACGACGCCGTGCAATGCACCTGTCATCTTCGTCGTCGTCGTTCTCCTCCTCCTCCTCCGCACCCGCCCTCTTCCTACCCCCTCGTACTCCTTCTCCTCTTCCTCCTCCTCCCCTTCCTCCTCCCTCCTCCTCCTCCTCCTCCTCCTCCTCCTCCTCCTCCTCCTCCTCCTCCTCCTCCTCCTCCCCCTTCCTCTTCCGTGTCCTTCCTGATCCCCCTCCTTCTACATCCTCCTGCCAAGAGGAGGGAGAAACGGAAAAAGAGAAGGAGGAGGCTGGAAAGGAGGGGGAGAAGGAGGGGGAAGAGGAGGAGGAGGACGAGGAGGAGGAGGAGGCCGTGGAGGTGACGGAGAGGAGAAGGCAGGAGCAGAGCAGGAGGAACGGAGCGGGCAGAGTCGGAGGACAAAGAGCGGCAGGGACACTGTCGACGGCGTCGACAGCGTCGGCGGCGGCGGGGACGCCGTGCGCCGCACCTGCTGCATGGCCGCGGGCGCGGATGCCACACGCCGCGCGAGCTCCATAGGCGCGCCCCACAGGACAGCGGCGCGCGCGTGGGGGGGCCGCCCTGTGCCCCCTCGAGGTTGGCTCGTCCGCGGAGTTGTCTGGAGGAGCTGGGGTCACGGTCCTCCCCCATCCTTCTTCTCCAATTCCTCCTCCAACTCCGAGCTCCTCCTGGAACTCCTCCTCCTCCTCCTGCATCCCCATGCTCCACCCTCGCTCTCCATTATCCACCCTCCTCCTGCTCCCCCTTCCCCCTCCCCCGCCGGTCTTTCCCTGCACTCCTCGCCCTCCCCTCTCTCATCCTCCTCTTCCGTCTTATCTTCTGTCTTCTTCCTCCCCCTCCTCCTCCTCCTTCTCCTCGACTCCTCATACTCCTCGTCCTCCTCCTCCTTCTCCATCCTCCCCTTCTCTCCTCCTCGCCTACGCCTCCTCCTCCTCCTCCTCCTCCTCCTCCTTCTCCTCCGCCCTCCGCCGTCCTCCTCCGCCGTCCTCCTCCTCCTCCTCCTCCTCCTCCTCCTCCTCCTCCTCCTCCTCCTCCTCCTCCTCCTCCTCCTCCTCCCCCTCCCCCTCCCACCCTCCCCTCCGCCCCGCCCTCGCCCTCGTCGTCGCCCTCGCCGTCGCCGTCCCCCGCCGCCCTCGCCAGCCGCCGCCCCCCGCGGCCCGCTGGCCGCCAGGGGCCGCCCGAGCCACGGCGAGCAGCCGGCGGGGAGGCGCGCGCGCGCGCTCGCCTGACGCGGTGGGCACGTCCACCTCGGGCGCCTCGGGGGTGCCGCGCGCCGGGGGGTCGGAGGTCGGCGGCCGTGCTCCTCCTCCTGCCTCTCCGCCTCCTAGGCCTCGTTTGCGCTGTGCTTCTGGGTAGATGTCCATTCCTCCTCCTCCTCCTCCTCCTCCTCCTCCTCCTCCTCCTCCTCCTCCTCCTCTTGGCGTTCATTGCACAAAACAGGAGGGGCAATGGGGAGGCAGCGCAGACGCTGAAAAAAGTCTTTGATCTTGGTGCTTTGCAAGTGCCCCCCGCGGGCCAGTGTTATTGTTCTGGTGTTTTGGAAGGTGTTGAGCGGGTCTCACGGGGATGCTGGTCCCAAGACGTTTCCTGTTACTTTAGACCGCCAAATGTCTGAAACAGTTTGGCTGTAAGGGGGAAGGGGGGCGATCGGGATGGTGCGGTACTGTCGAGCACCTTACTTGTTCCTATGGTCTTCGGGGGTCTCACAGTTACTAAGCTCGAGTGCCGAACGCCTGGAATTTCTTTGTTTAAAGGTGCCTTACACGGGTGTTTGATAATGTGCGATGTTTATGTCAATGTCTTCAGGGGTATCACGGATATGGTGGTGACATGGTGTGTTCTTATTGTGCTAATGTGCGGACGCTCTTATTGGTCTACTTGAAAGGAAACAAAGAACACTGATCGGGGAGGGAACGCGAATGCCGAACACTTATGATTCTGATGCTATTAAATGGTCCCGCAGGGACTGTCAATACGACCGAATCCCACCAGCCCTTTGGGCGTGAGTGGTTTAGGGAGCTCTCTCTGTTCTCAACCCCCCTTCTTCCCCTTCGGGGAGGGGTTTACCCCTCCCCCTACCCCCTCCCCCTGGACCTGGAGAGGGGGTTCCGCGGGTCGTCAGGGGGGGTCATTTTCGACTCCGGGGAGGGCTAAAAAACGACACCCCTCACGAGGATTCTGGCCCCGACGGGGGGGACCAGAAAAAAAAACCCTCTCGTCTTCTTTGAAACCAAAATCAGTGATTTTACTACGGTTTCGGCCCTATTTTGGCCTTCTGAGGGAGCCGCGCTCATTAAAGCTTCCCTCTTCCTTCATGGCAAACTCATTGATTTTACGAAGGTTTTGGCCTCATGTTGCCGTTCTAAGGGGGCAGCGCTCATTGAAGCTCACCTCTTCTTTGATCCATCCTCTCCACGATGGCCCGAAGAAGCGCCCAGGAGGCACCAAGAGGCCCCAAGATGGTCCCAAGAGGCCCCCAGGAGGCCCCCAAGAGGCCTCCAAGAGGCCCCCAAGATGCCCCCAAGAGGTCCCCAAGAGGCCCCACGAGGCGCCGAAGACGCCCCAAGAGGCCTCTAAGAGCTCACAATGTAGTGACATCTGTACCACTTACCATTCTACCCTACGACTACTACTACTACTAATACTACTACTACTACTACTACTACTACTACTACTACTACTACTACTACTACTAAACTACTACTACTACTACTACTACTACTACTACTACTACTACTACTACTACTACTACTACTACTACTACTACTACTACTACTATACTACTACTCATACTAGTACCACTATATCATCCCCTACTACTATAACTACAACTACTATGACGACTACTACTAGTCCCACCAGCCCTTTGGGCGTGAGTGGTTTAGGGAGCTCTCTCTGTTCTCAACCCCCCTTCTTCCCCTTCGGGGAGGGGTTTACCCCTCCCCCTACCCCCTCCCCCTGGGCCTGGAGAGGGCGCCTCGCGGGTGGTCAGGGGAGTCCTTTTCGACTCCTGGGAGGGCTAAAAAACGGCACCCCGCACGAGGATTCTGGCCCCGACGGGGGGAGGCAGAAAAAAACCCTCTCCTCTTGTTTGAAGCCAAAAGCATTGATTTTACTACGGTTTTGGCCCCATTTGGGCCCTCTGAGGGGGCAGCGCTCATTAAAGCTTCCCTCTTCCTTCAAGGCAAAATCATTGATTTTACGAAGGTTTTGGCCTCATGTTGCCCTTCTGAGGGGGCAGCGCTCATTCAAGCCCCCCTAGATGGCCCCAAGAGGTCCACAAGATGGCCCCAAGAGGTCCCAAGATGGCCCCCAAGAGGTCCCCAGGAGGCACCAAGAGGCCCCAAGATGGCCCCAAGAGGTCCCCAGGAGGCCCCCAAGAGGCCTCCAAGAGGCTCCCAAGATGCCCCCAAGAGGCCCCCAAGAGGCCCCAAGAGGCTCCCCCGAAGCACCCAAGACGCTCCTGGAAGCCCCTGGGGCCGCCAAGAGACCCCCAAGACGCCCCAAACGGCCTCCAAGAGGCTCCCAAGAGGCCCGAAGAGGCTCCCCCAAGGCACCCAAGACGCTCCTAGAAGCCCTGGGGCCGCCAAGAGGCCCCCAAGACGCCCCAAAAGGGGACGAGGTGCCCGAACGCCTCACGCCACGAGGAGCCCGAACGACTCACACCAGGACGAGGGGCCCGAACGACTCACACCACGAAGAGCCCGAACGACTCACACCAGAAGGAGGGGCCCGAACGACTCACACCAGGACGAGGCGCCCGAACGACTCACACCACGAGGAGCCCGAACGACTCACACCACGACGAGGGCCCCGAACGACTCACACCACGAGGAGCCCGAACGAGTCACACCAGGAGGAGGGGCCCGAACGACTCACACTCACACCACGAGAAGCCCGAACGACTCACACCAGGACGAAGAGCCCGAACGACTCACACCACGAAGAGCCCGAACGACTCACACCAGGAAGAAGGGCCCGAACGACTCACACCAGGACGAGAAACCCCAAACGACTCAAACCACGAGGAGCGCTTTCTCTCCCTCCTCCTCCGCCTCGTCCTTCTCCCGCTCCCACCACAAGGAGGATGTACAAGGAGGCGGGAGGAAGGAGGAACAGGGGAGATATGCGGGGGCAGGCGGAAACACGCCTGAAAAACACGACTGTCGGCATGCTTCGCAAGAGTTGCTGTTGTGAGATGGGCTGGTGGGGATACGCGAAGCGTAAAGAATTGCTACGCTTTAAACATATATCGCACGGATGGCCGTCCCAAGACGTATTATTTGTGTTTCTTGGGTGTAGAATGCTTCAAGTGTAAGGGAACAGAGTGGATCTTGGACGAAGCGAATTCTTAAGACCTTTGAATATATGTGTTCAGGGGTCCCACAAAGGTTCCGTCCATGTTGTGTTGTTGGGTTGGTCCGGGGGGGTCTCAAAGTGATGGTTGTCGCAAGACGTTTCCATAGTGTGTTCAAGTGTGGAATGGATTGCGAATTGTCAACTCAATGCCATAAAAGAAAGAGTGACTGGGGAGGACGCGCGAATGCTTCACAATGATTATGTACATGTGTATGTTCGGGTTTTATTTTTCATGGCCCGGCAAAGATGGTGTCCCTAAGACGTTCCCTATTATCCGAAGCGTCAACGTTGCCGGTGATTGCACTATAAGGGAATCGGGAGGAGATCTGTCAGGGAGCGCGAGGGCCGAAAACCTTTGAATGTTATGGTTCCAGGGGTCTCGCATGGATACTCATATGTGTTGCTTTGTTTGTGGTCTACAGATACCATAGGGGTCGTTGTCCCAAGAACTGCCGCTTTGTTTTTTAGTGCGCATGCTCTCATTGCTGGTGCCATCTTGTTCTTGTCGCTTAAGGGCCCAGAGGGAATATTGCATACATGTTGTTGTCGTGTTCTTTGGGGCTCTGACAGGGATGCTGGTCGTCGCAAGACGTGCCCTTATTGCTTGTACTCGCAAGTTCGCTTTTACATAAAATTGTAAAGCGGCGCCAGGAAGAGCGGGGACGCAGCGCGAATGCCGAACACCTGTGAGGTGTAGGGTTCCTTGGGGTCCCACTGGGATAATTCATACGATTTTTGCTTCAGATACATAAGGGTATCACAGGGATGACTGTGCCAAGAGATTTTATTCCCTGCCTAGGCTCTGCCTAGAAGGGTTCTTACTCGGTGTGCTTACAGGGCCGGGCAGTGGAACGCGCCCCGGGCGGTTCCCCCAGTATCCGCCCCGCGGTTCCCCCAGTTACGTCCCCTTAGCTTAGCGTTGCTTATCTCATCTTAGCTTAGCCTATTTCATCTTAGCTTAGCTTAGCTTCATCTTAGCTCAGGTTTATCTTAGCTAGCTTACCTTCATCTTAGCTTCGCTGAACTTTAGCATAGCAGAGCGCAGCACTGCATAGCATAGAGTAGCATAGCATAGCCCAGCACATCATATAATAGCATAGCCCAGCATAGCATAGCACAGCGCAGCATAGCATAGCATAGCATAACGTAGCGCAGCACAGCAGAGCATAGCATAGCGGACCACAGCAGAGCATAGCATAGCATAGCATAGCAACTAATGCTGCTTTCCTAGAGGCTCCAACTGCTAGGTAGGGTCGCACTGGGGTAATTCTCGCCTTGTAAATGGGTGGTTGCCACTTTGATTTTGATTATCGCGGAAAGAGGTCGGAGAGGGAGCGTGAATGTCGACAACTCTTGATGCTTATTGATTTCTGCGCTCCCGCATGGATTATTGATAGTTGCTTTATTCCTGGGTTTGAAAAGGTCTCGCAAGGATGGTTGTTAAAAGACGTGCTCTGTTGGTTTGCCAGGGAGATAAAGGGACGTCGGGGAGGAAGCAAGAATGCCGAACACTTTTTTCGATTGCATTCCCAACTTCTTAGGTGTGACTACTGTTTGCTCTGGACGTTCAGCACAGTGTTCCTCATCCTCCCCCTCTCCTCTTGTCCCTTCGCGCAATGAACCACTAAATCACTCACACACCAACATCCGCATAACAGCACCAGCCTCGTTATCATCCAGCACATCAACACCATTCACACAACCAGTCACACCATCATCAGCCACACACACACACACCACACACGATCAATCTCTCACTCACCTGGATCATCACCACTACCACAAGTGGACAAAACCCTGCTCATTATCACCAGCTCGCCTTCACCAGCATCAAGTTAACATCATCGCCCTCATAATCATCATCGCAGGTACGCGCACATACGGCCATCTTAAGGGA